AAATCTCTCTCTCTCTTCTGTAAGCGTTGCAAAATATTGGAAGTGTTGCGTCAATGATTTTGTTTAATAACAATAATTACTACGAATGCGACACATCTTCAAAATTCAGATAAATTATTAATCTACGTTGTTATTTTGTTCGTAAGTCTCGATTTACTCAATTGATAACACAAAGGACCAGACTTATGACAAGCAATGTGATTTTCAAACAAAAACTGTATCAGAATCATATCTATTTTCAACTCAGGAACATACGAGCTACAAATGTGTTTACCAGCATACAAGCATGGAGGAACTATACGTTAAACAAGAAAACAAAAACGAATACGCCTACCCGCATATTTGAAATATGTTGCTGAACGCCATTTCTTGGTAAACTATACAGATAATTTTGATGAAGACACGCCTAAAAGCACTCTGCTCCCCACCCGACAGGAAATGCTTCTAATGGATCAGTCTTTTCCAAATAAACAGTGGAAAGTTCACACAACATTATTCTGGGGTAATTATTTTTTGATTGCTGTCCAATTACGATGGATTATCATAGATGGTGCTAACATTGCGTAGTACTGGCAGATCGTGGAACTTTATCAAAGTTTTCATATAATGCCTTTTTGTTGATGTTATATGACGATAGAATATGAGACTGCAAATCGCTGTGTCCGAGGTTCTAAAAATCCAGCCCAATACTAAGTTGGTAAGGTTTAAACAGATATTGAATGACTGTATACGACGACAAACAAAACGAAGACTTGAGTAAACAAAATATATTGCCAAGTTTATTTTCGTTCAAAAAAATACATTAACAGAAGGTGGTTACAGTTCACTAGGCAAAGTAAAAAAAAAAAAAACTGAGTGAGAAGAGGGTTGCCCCGAAAAGGCCAGTTTATCGCATATCGTTGCTACTGGCAAGGACGGCTGGTTAAGAACAGATACTACACTTGATCCTAGGCATCTTGGTCGCAAGTGGTCTCGGTATTTACACGAGATCTCGCCACAAGGCGCGATGTTGCACAAGGCCGCTTTTTTTTCGTGGGGTTTTCCGAGCGCGTACGATCGGGCAAAAATTCCTGTAGACCCGCATAGACAGGGTCTGGCAGCTGTCTAACTCCCCAGATGAGACTCTGTCCGTAGGCAAAGTCTCGTCTCGATTCCTCTCTGCCCGAATGCAAAGAGGTCGGCTAGCAGAGCTTTAATGAAATGTAATACTTAACTAGTCGCAAATGGTCTCCTTTTGCACGTGTCTTGTTGTTGTTATTATATATATATATATATATATATATATATATATATATATATATATATATATATATATATATATATGCTGAATCAGTTTTTACAACAGTCACTGGGGTTCTTGAAGTTGAAGAATTTTCTTCCGTTTGTTTTTTTTAAACAATGTAGGGTGGGTGCCGGCAGTATACAAACAGGTTTGTCAGCGAACGAACGTTAGTAAAATTAAATTTTTAAAAATCAGACTGCGGGCCAAAATTTATTGTTTGTGATTCTGAGATGAAGCTTTTTAATTATTAATGGATATTTCGACTAGTATCATCATCTTGTTAATTTTTAAACGTTTGAGTCAGTATTTTCCACCCGGTAATCCTAAGATTTCGACAAATATGTTTTTCAAGATTATCGGTGTAATACCAAGATAAAAGTTATATTCCAGAGTTTTTAATAGCTTTTTTTTTCTTTTTTCATTTTTTTTATCCTTTTACCCCTTAGCAAGGCAATAAAGCTACTAAGACGTAAGGTGGGAGGGCACTGAGCGTTAGAAAATATAAGAAAAAAATACTATTAAGGAGAGAGAACAATAAAAGAATAAGAATTAAGAAGACAGAAGATAACGAGTGATATTGCGTTAAAGAAATGGGCGCCCCGAGGCGGTGTAATGGTTAGCGACCTTGTCTCGCTAGAACAATTACGACTGAATAGTGAGTTCGATCCTCACTGGGTGCTCCATATATTCTGACTTGTGCCGCATCTAAGCTACGCTTGGAAAATCGCTATTGCATTAAAGAAATACCAAAAAAAAATTGTTCTCACGGGTACAGCCCACACCTTACGAAGGGATTTATCTATGTAAAATATGTGTGTTTTTTTTAATTGCTCAGTGAAAAATGTCATTATGCCATTTCTGACCTTAGGTTTCTGGTTGGGACCCGGAAAGAAATGAGTACACACCAGAAATCAAAGGAAATAAAACAATAATAATATCAAAAAGGACATTGTTGGAATAGAAAATAGAAAAAAAAAAGGAGTGTTTAATTATCGATCTATCGTGTTCTTTTGATCCGAGGGCAGAGCAAAAGGAAGACGAGAAAGTAAGCAACTATGGCGCATTGAAGTTTGAATTCGCAAAGCATTGAAAGTTAAAAATCATAATCATACCAGCTAACATTGGTTTACTTGGTACAGTGACTAACAGAATGGATAAAATAAATGTCTCACCTTCAGACTCAGCACACCGTCAATTCGACACTACAAAGATATCACC